CACCTGCAGGGGCCGACCAACACTAGGAAAAAACATTAGGAAAAAAGGCCAAATAACGTGTGCTCAAACATGTACAAAGTTTTCGGGTTTGTGTTATTTTTGCATTCTTAGCGTGCAGAACTTTGATGAAACGTGTTTTGTGTGTGTTGACAGAAGTGTCATTTGGCAATTTTTTTTCCTAGTGAAAGAGACAAATAACACGTGTTCAAGCGGGTACAAAATTTAGGTTTGTGTTACTTTTTGTGTTCTTAGAATGCATAATTTCGATGAGGTGTGTTTTGTGTGTTTCCGCAAAGTGCCATTTGGTCCTTTTTCCTAGTGCATGGCGCCCTGGGGTGGCGAGGATGGTCATTCCTGCCGCTGAGACACGATAGCTGCCACAGCATAACACCACGCCACTCTCCTCTATGCTGCCGTGTTGTGCCGTGGCACTGTCTGCCGTGGTTTGGAGCCCGTTTGGCCCTTGTTCCTTTGGCTGTTGGGCGTGCCTGGCGCTCTGGGCCATCAAAGTTCTTTTTGTCATCAGTTGACACAAACCTGTTGCAAGTGACCCTATTCGCGACCGCAAGTCGCTTTCCTGCCGTCGTGATGTGCGCTTCACTGCGAGCGCTGGCAAACTTTGCTCGGGGGCCAGGGCGAGAGATGCCAATCGCCATGACAAAATGTTTTCTTCGATGCACCCACAGACAGCGCGCCGAGGCGCAGCGTGGTGGGATGGCGATGCGCTTTGAAAAATTCATGGCAGGGCGGCTGTCAACGCGGTCAGGGGCTGCCACAGGGCATGGCAATAATACTGTATGCACGCATGTCTGATTTTCTGGGCGAATATTTGAATGCCGCTGGATTAATGCATCTGCACAATGTGGATTTGATCATATTTTGCGGCAGGCATGTACCTTCCAGAAACACTAAATTTTTGCGTTCCTGTTAATGATGTACTTTTTGCTGCATGTGAAGCATACGGGAAACGTTATTTAGTCACTTCTTCCAACGTCAGCATGGAGGCCCAGACCAGGGCCAGCCCACACTAGGCCAGCCCCGCTCACCCATAGCTAGGGGCGAGCTGCGCCCCCCTTGTGCCACGCTGTGAAAACAGCCAAGTCATGGGAGGGGGCACTGGCGCCTCCCCTCCGCAGTTCGCTTGGCACAGGGGGCGAACGCCAAGGGCAGACTGCGGCCTCTGCATGACTCAAAGAGTAGCCACAAAAAAACGCCACAAAACAGCAGTAGTGGGAGGGAGCACATGCCTCCCACTCCGACCCTTCTTGCCCTTCATGGCCACCGATTGGTGCCACCCGTGGGTGCTCATCGGTCCATCCATGGCTGGCACCAATCGGGGCCCACAAAGAGCCCAGGTGGGAAGCACGCTTCACTGCGCATACGTATACAGCGAGATCCGCCATGAATCTTGCACCTCCCCCAGCCTCCTGAGGAGGCCCGTTGCCCTGGCCCTTTCATGGACACACCATCCGCCCATCGCAAACCAACCAGCTGGCACAATCGGATACACGCCCGCGCCTCTGTCCGCAACGTCGTGGAGTCCACAAACTTCTGTCTGCAATGTACAAAAAAATGTCGCGTACAGCAAAGGCAGAAAGAGATTGCGGAATTCTGTGAACAGAGCGTTCGTCCCCAAACTCGTGGATGGCAGCCTCTGGACAGATTGCAGCCTTGCAAAGCAGTTTGCGGTCTGTCCATCCATCTGCGAGTTCTGGAAAGGGCTGTGGTGGCGCCGCATGCTGCGCTTCAGTGCTCGTGCTCCATGCTGGGACCCTGTGCTCGAAATCGCGCATGGTGTGCCTGGAGGCTAGCCCTCACAGGCAGCAACTTGCAATGTTGATGGCACCCGCTGGGCCAGCCGCGACCATGACCACGGCTGCCATGATCATGGGTGACCATGGGCTCCACAGGTATGGCACTGTGAAACTGTGGAACTGCGGAGGGGAGGCGCCAGTGCCCCCTTCCACGACTTCACCGTTTTCACAGCAGGGGCGCACAGGGGTGTGGGTTGCCCCCAGCACCTAGGGCAAGCGGGGCCAGCCCGGCGCGACCCAGCCTTGGTCTGGGGCCTCCAATCTGATGTTGGAAGGCAGCGACTAAACAACGATTCCCGAAGCATACATGTTTGCTGTGACAGAACAGAGTTGCCATGAGACACCACCTGTGTTGGCTGCAAGGAATTCATTCTGTCACAAGCAAAGACAAGGAACAGCCAGATGTGTGGATATCGCCAGCGCATATGTTACAAGGGCTACTTGGGAATCACTCAAGAGATACAATGTTGATTGTTTCCAACTGAATTCCTTGAGATCAAGTGCCCAACTCAACTACCTGCATTCTCTGAAATTCCGTGTCTTTGATGGTAGAATATCCATGACCAGAATCTGTGCCTAGCTGAGATACAAAAGCGAAATTGCAGCTGACTGTATTGAGTCGACATTTTTGGTACGGTTTAAAAATTTGCAATCAAGTGCAAGTCTACAATCAAGTAGAAATTCCTTTGACAAGAATTTAACACATGCGTGGGAATATGATTCGACGCCATCTTGACATTTGCGTACACAGTGTGCACTACACACAGGAGCAATTTGCGGGAACACGTCTGCATGTGGAAACTTCACAAACACATAATTGTGAGACGAGCAAACTATGTTGATCACCTGTGATTCAGATACATGGATTCAGGCAGCTCACCTTGTCTTTGGTCTCAATATCCACTCCCTCCTTTAGCATCATCTCCACAGCTTCAAGATCACCTTTCTTGGCTGCTTGCAAGAGGTGCTCGCCGCTCTGAGACGCCAAAGCCAGTATAACCATATGCAAATCTTTGGCAACCATCTGCCATGTCTTGTATAAATGCATAACAGCAGAATGCAACGGAAGATCAAATAAACTAAAGAGCAAATTGATTGACTTACATTGACTTGCATTTGCAATGGCACCCCCATCAACAGTTAAAACTCAACCTTCACAGTACAAAACTCACATACAAGACTTCTGCCAGCCTCCTTTGCGATTCAAAATATTCCCAGATTATTAGAAGAAATGATTTCAATGCATGTCTCATGCATACAAAACAGGGCGTGCAAAAATGCAGTACTGCACTTTGAGCAGCACAGATTGATAGGGCGTAATTTAAAGTAGGTGATGCATGCACAGCAGATGGGCCAAAGTCCAGGAACTCATAGGTATGAAGCTCTGCATAGTTGCTCTTCCACTTGCATCCACATTTTCATGCACAGCAGATACAGTCGACTCATCCAAGGCAGGATATCTTGATCCCTCCTCCCACCTGAGCATTCCAGCAAAGTAAGACTGGCAACACCCACATTCCTTCCAAAATGAAGCCATGTGGAATTGCATATTGCAAATGTCAGGGAAAAGAACAAGATGAAATTCCTGGCGTGCACTGAACACTCACCTTCTGCTTGAAACAGTGGTCCATGTCGAACTTCCTTCAGTTGGTGTGTCCAGGGGAGGAGATGGTGACTGCATTACGTTCATGAAGATGGCCATTAGCATTGCAGAATCATCCAGGTCTGGGCGCTGTTCAGTTTCCAGACTCTGTAGTTTGGAAAAATACATATCTCGAAATATCAGAAATGCAGTATTGTAAGTTTCACATGCATGAGTGGATTTGAACACAGAAGTAATCAGCATTTCAATAGTGGACTTCAAATGTGCACAACATCTGTAAAATCAGCAAAGAAGGCCTCTGCCAGAATGGGCGCATGTATGAACTGTGCACATATGTTTTAATTCTTCCTCTGACTGCACCTTGCATTCCAATCTGCTTCCCCATCGAGGGCTCTCAGGATTCCTTGATTCTGAAGACTGTTCCCTGAGCTCCTGGAGCTGCTTCTTTAGCCTCTCTGATTGTTCAGTCAATTCCTTCACTCTTGATTCAAGGCCAGACACAGCATCCTGTTTTTCCTTTGTGAGCTCTTTCACTCTTGCTTGAAGTTCCATGTTGCTCTGTTCAGCAACGAAACGTTAATCACATGGATGTACAGAGCTATTTGATTAAAAATATGCTACATCAATGGCAGTGCAGAACTTGACTGACATCTTGTAATATTTTCACCTGGAACTGGCTCTAAGACGCCATGACAGACAATGCTCTCCTTGATCCAGATCAAACACAAAAAATATGTTGCCAAATATGCTCAACAACAGTGGTGATGCAGTTCACAGCACTTGTTTTTTCTGAATCGCAAATTACGTGCACAATGAACAGGAGGCTCAGCATCAAAAATGAGCAACCTCCTTTCTTGAACAAACTGAATTTATTACAGGAGCAAGTACTAACCCCACCTTTTTCAACGCAGCATCGCCCCTGCCATTCAAGCTTGAGACAGTGTCATATCCCTGCACCAGATGATTGTGCCATGTGTCAATATATTTCCCAAATTGTTGTGGCTGAAACTTGCACACATTGTCACACATTCACTTGCAAAAAGGCAGATACAGGCACGACATACACACACGCTGTAAACGTCTATCACGTGCTGTGGATAGGCTGCCTGGCTTGGGATCTTCACACTCATCTGCAATACTACTGCAAAAATACCAAAGCAGCATATGCAATATCATACAATTAATCGTCAAGTGCATGAAGCAAAGTATAAAACACCAGCAAGCACAGTTCTGTGGCATACCAGCATGTCAATAGCATCTGCAGCTTTTCATGTGCATCCAAATTCAACAGTGCATAATAGGCAAAGTGAATTGCCATCCAGTCACAAATACATGGGTCACCTTGTGGATGATTTGGATCAAAGAGGTACAGACTGCCTCCATTGAGGGCCGCTTGCTAGGATCTGGATCAATGCAGATCTTCATCAATTTCATCAAGGGTTCTGGACAATCATGCATCCCTGTGCAGGGCTCTGCCCAATTTTGCTTCCTCCCCAACACTTGACGTGGGTTCATTTTTGCGTAGGGCATGCTCTGTGAGGCCACCTCATACATGACGATGCCCAGGCTGAAGACGTCCGATTTCATTGTGTGAGGCCGGCCCTCGTACAGCTCAGGTGCCATCCACAGCTCTGTACCTTGCTGTACCAGCTCTGTACCTTGCTGTACCAGCTCTGTACCTTGCTGTACCAGCTCTGTACCTTCGGAAGGCCAGTCACAGACCTGGTGGTCTCGGTCTTGACAATGGCCAAACCGAAGTCTGATACTTTCACCACATAGTCCGCAGGACAGGTCCCAAACACCAAGAAGTTCAGGGACTTCACGTCCCTGTGCACGATACCCTTGCTGTGCACACGATTCAAACCCTCAGAGGCCTGCAGCAAGAGCTTGGCCTTGCAATCCCAGCTCAGCCTTTCTGGCTGAACACAGAGCTTCTGCAAGCTGCCAGCGGCGAGTTCCATAACAAGGCACAGGGACTTTGTTGCTGCATAGCACACCACCACATTTGGGTGCCTCATGTTCATGTTGATTTCAGCCTCTGTCAGGAATTCGGCAACTGCATCATAGGGAAACTTGTCCGTAGAACCAGCAAGCCTTTTCACGGCCACATCCATGCCAGCCCAACGACCTTTGAGGACCTGCGCATACCCGCCTTTGCCAAGAGGCTGGCCCAGAATGATTTTGGACTCTGGAATCAAGTGCATTCTTTCCGACCTCTGCTCATTTTCTATTCGCAAAATTTCCAGCTCAGCCCTCAGCGAGTCCTCCATCACAATGGTTTCACCCTCAATGACGCACTGCAGATACCACTCCAAGAATGCCTTGTCTTTGTCAACACTGCTGGGTGTGGCAGTGATCTTGATACTGGTATGGGCCTCCTCAAGGCCCAAACAATCCAAAACGCCGGCAATATCCTGGCAGAGTGCTTCAACCTCACCCACCACACTTGCAACCTTGTAGAAGTGCCGAATGTCAAATGCCCTGGTGTGCTCTTCCAGCAGATGTTTTGCCCTCTTAAGCACCTCCTTCAGGTTGGCCCACCAGGACAGGTCCTGTGCATCAACAGGCACCTCAGTCACACCTTCCATCAATCTTTTGGCGGCAACCATCTGCTCCACAAGGAATTCCATCGTCTTGTGGTTGTATCTTGTGCCAATGCTGCATAGCTCTTCCACCGATGTGATTGTGCTGATGTGATCTTCAAGAAATGCCAGCATCTTGCACTCGTGTGGTACAGTCTGGACAGCCACACAGGATGGTCAGGGAGGAGACATTTTGCCTGCTGAGAGCATATGACTCTGCACAAAATGTGCTCTTGAATGCTGGCCATCATCGTAAGCAGTTTGAAGCATCTTGATGGCTTAAGGATTCCACACACTGGCAGAAAACAGCCTGCTTGCGATGCCAGCTGCGATGCCATTTTGACACAAATTGATGCCGTCACAGTGAATGCGATGGCATAAAAGGGGATGTGATGGCATCAATTTGTATCAATATGGCATCGCAGCTGGCATTGCAAACAGGCTGTTTTCTACTGGTGACAGCTGCTCTTGCTTGGTTGTTCATCCCTGTTCCCATCGCGATGTCCTCCAACCCACAAAGAACATGCTGCCAAAAGTGACTGTGTTCTGCAGATGAGGCCAGGCTGTGAAAAAGTTATTGTCATGTGTTGCTCACACTGGATACAAATAAAGCATGTGAGAAGCTCCCATAGGCAAAGGGCACAGCTGAGCATGTTGTTTTTACTGGTGCACCCCCCCACCCTGCCCCGGGACATTGCCACAGGCCACGATCCACCCACCTGCGCAGTGTGCTCCTCGGCTCCTCACGTGACGGAGCGGTCGCGGAAGCGCGTTGAGCGCCCTCGGCGAGCACAAAGCGCCGGAGGCTCTTCTGAGACCTGGGTGCGCTGCACGCCGGATCTTAGAATCCACTCGCAGCCTGCTCCGCGCCTTTGGAGGAAAAGGAACAGAAAAGAACGGATTAAGATATCATCCCCCGTGCATTGGACCCACAGCGGCGACGCAGAAACGGCTAAGGGGGTTGCGTTCGAGGGCGCTCGCGGCGAGTGAAAACGACGAAAAGGAGGTTGACCGAGGTGATAGTCCGACTGGTGGATGGGTACGACAATTGCCTCATGCGCGCCTCGCAGGAGGCCCGCAAGCGGTGACGAGCGGGTGGGCGTTTGCACAGGGCACTCGCCGGTGGACGCAGCGGACTCGATCGCGAATGGCGTCGGCGACGCGGAGCGAAGATCGCCGCTCGCACACCGGCGCGCGTGACTGTGGGACGGCCACCTCCGCAGCTGCCCTTCCACCCGAGTCCCCCCCCTGGGGTCCTGCCTGACTCCACTCCCGTCAGACGGGGTTCCCAGAAGCCTGCGACCGCAGTGCCGTCCGGCATCCCAGGGTTCCGCCTCCCAGCGCTCGGCAAACACCGTCCAGGGCTGTCGCCATCGCTCCTTGGCATCCGGCAAACCTGGTTCCCCCCAGGATGGCCGTCCACTCATGGTCGTCATGCGGAAACGCTCACCTCGCTCAAAGGTCGAATGACGTCCTGCCGACGGAGCGGCGGCAGGCCCCCCAGTGCCGCCGCAGAGGGCCGCCGTTGGGCGCCGACCTCTAGTGACTGGCCCGGCCGGAGGGGGGCATTCAGCGCAGCGCCCTTGAACGTGGGAGGAAGACAGGGTGTGGAGTCGTTGGGGTGGCGGGATGTGCCCCCGGTGCTGCTTGGCCTGCTCCTTCAGTATTCTCTCACACATGTGCGAAAGATTCCGTTCGTGCGGCATCTCTCCGCTGCGCCCTTCGTTTGGGGCCCAGCCTTCACCGGGAGCTTGCCCCTTGGGCGCCGGATTTCGGCCTGGAAGCTGCGGCGTGTGCCGGTGGGAGTCCTGCGGCTGAGGCGGGCTATCACCCGCGGCATATTCCGAGCATCCTCGGACAAAGGAAGGGTACCTCGCGCTGTGCAATACACCGAAGGGTGTGCTGTGCGCTGGACAGCAGATCCGAAGGCCGGGCGCGCGACGCCCGGGGGCATCGATGCTAGCATATCCCGCATTGCGCAGCCTCAGGGAATGTGTGCCGTGTGCTGTACCGCGCACTGGGGATTGTGCGCGCGACACCTTGTGGTGGTAGCAAGCTCTAGCTCATGGCATATTCGGATCTTTGCGGCCTCCAGCTGGGAGGCAGTTGTGCATTCCCGGGGGGTGACAAACGAGACTCCGCAGCCGGGTGCTGCTATGTGAGTTGCTCGCTTGTAGGCAACGTCAGGTTCAGATTGCGGTGTCCCTTCTAAGGGAACGCGCCCTTGCCGTTAGGGACAGTCTTTCACATGCAGGCCCCACTGCCCAACGGGCTCTTGAGCACTGCCAGTATTCTCCTGTGTCGTGGCATGCAATGCCATTCTTGACGACAATGACACACTGCGCAAAAGAATGCGGGCTTGCACCAAGGACATGATTAAATGGTTTTCGGCCAGGCCTGTTATTTCTGGCAGAAACGCAGATTGTACTTGCATGTTTGTGCATAGAAGGGGCACTTATGTTCTTTCGCACAAAACGCCTACGAATACCTAAATTTGGGCCCTGTGTACATAAGGACAGTGCGCACAGACTGAGGGAGTCCGGCGAGCGGAAGAGAGACGCGTTGGATTTGGCCAAAAAGCGACCTTTTGTTCAAGGGTGTCGATGCCCTTGACGAAGGCGTGGTAAACACTGTGTTGGTGGTCTTCGAATGGGCGGAGGACTGATCATTTTGCGACTTCATTACAAGGCCGGACACGCGTGCGCGCTGCGCACACGGTGCCCTCTGATTAACCTGGCGTATTTGCGACTTCATTATGTAAGTTGGGGATCTTGATGTGCCGTTAGACTACGTAAGAATAGCAATCTGTGTTTATGCGGTCTTGTGCGCAAGAACGTAAAAGTAAAAGTGGTGCTGTGGAACGACGTTTCTTGCGATCGGTATCAATAGCCGATGATCGCTGTCACTTTCTTGTTCTTGGTGACTTTACACAAATTTGTATTTGGTTTAAACCAGCCCAGAACCACTGATACTACCATGAAAAGAATCACTGTATTCACCAGAAATCCACAGCCTAATTGTGATCCAATCAGTAGAGACTTCAAGCTGTCCACCTTCATTTCTGACTGCTCACACAGACGACTCTATTGGACTCGCTCTGCACCAGACGCATCCGCAGCAATATGAGCCGCTGATTTTCAGTCGGAGTGCACATTCGCACTCTTAAAACACGCCACACTACAAGCACGCAACCCCCACTGATGTCCCCAACAATGAACACCAAATGCACCCAACGGGTATTGCACATCAGTGTCAATCTGAACACCCAATAATGCAGCCCACACAACAGAACTCACATCCCTTAACCACAATGAAACTGATTGGCATCAAATTTCAGTAACATGCAGGTCAGAAAATGGTTCATCAGAAGGAATTAAATCATCATCCAGAAAATGAGAAACTTTGCATTCCTTTCCCTCCGCTGCACTCCTGTTCTCAGTGTCCACTGGCATCTCAAGTTGCTTGCAGAAATCAGCCACTACCTTTTCAACCCTGCGTTACCCCTAGGCGATTTTATTTCGCAGCTCAGGCGATAGCCAAGGGATGTCGGCACTGGACAACAAATGCGGTGGGAACGTTTCACCGTCAACCTGTACAGCAACAGTCGTTGATCTCTGAAAGATTGACTGCTTCCGCGCACTGATAGACTGCCCTTCCGCGATCCTTTTTCTCTTTTCCTAACGGCCACTACTTTGGTCGGCCATTGGAGGGCGGAAATAGCCTCCTCTCTCCGAATCACTCACAGAAGAATCAGAAACACAGGAAGGCAGCGGCGGAATATCAGAGACGTTCGCACCGACTTCGCTTTCAATCTATATTCGTATTGATTCAGAATGCTGCTGAAAATGTCAGGAACGCGACCAACACGCACGATCTGCGAGCCATCAATGCTTCGCAGTATCAATGCGCTTCGGCACAGCCAGCGAGAATCCCGTAAGTTACATCACAATCGATTGTCGAATTGATGTCTTTGATATCCAAGATCGTGCGCAGCAAGAGACGATGCTCCGACGTGACCAAATTCCCACATCAAAGGTTGTTACACGATTTCACGGCATCCACTTATCCACGAGTCTAACTACATTTGTCCCAAACACAGCCCAGCGACCGACGCAGAAGCACCGTCCCAACTCGCTTTTCGATCCCGGACAGCTAGGGGATTGCCACTGGTGAACGACCCAAGCACCCCCACTTGAATGACCCCTCTCACAGCAATACGTCACACCGGAAGATCTTCCGTCCAGGAATAGCCTTCGTCTGTGATTTTCGGGCATTACTTTTCCATCGCACCAACATCAGTTTTCAGTGAATTTCACTCAAAGTTGTGCTTATGCCTTCAAAGCATACTATCAAAATTTGAAGTCAATCCATTCTCTGTTCAGGATTTACAGTAGTTTGTAACAATGGCCCTCTGGCCAGGAACCGCTCGGTTGGGCCGTCCCGGCGAGAACGGCCATTCTTCGCAATCCCGAGGAGCATGCCTTCGTGACGGCGAAGCAAGGCCGCCTCTAGACAACTGACCACGCCATTCAGACTGAATGTCGAGATGATCCTATGAAGAGTCAGGGCGACAGAAAACGGGCTTCTAAGGGACGGATCGCCGTCGAGTACGGCTGCAATGCGAGAGCGATCCAGCTCATCGGAAGAGCGTTTCGGGATCAGTTTCTGGGCCAGGGACCTTGGATCTCCATCGCCGCTATACGGGCAACTGCAAAAAGTCTGCCAAGAACTGCAGAGAGGTGCGAGAGAAGATGTTGAGAAGCAGCCCAGCTGGGCGCTGGACAATCCGTGCAATGACCTCCAAGATAGGAATGCAAAAATCGACAAATTTTCGAATTTGAAAAGCTTGGGCTAGAATAGGACCACGCGACGGTTAAGCCTTATCTCTGTCAAGAGCAGACAGTGGGAAGGCTGTCATGGATCGCAGAGCACAAGCGCCAAGTTTGACACAAGTAGCAATTTGTGGATTCGCGAACACGATCGACATCGATGAGAAGTAGTTCTGCATCAAGAAAGATGCCCGAAAGATTTGGGTTCTGCTGGAGGACGGGCGTGTGGGCGCTCCAAAGGCACGAACCAAGACTTTCATAACGAAATCAGACATGAGCAGCCATGTACTCGGCTGGTATAGGGCG